AAGTAACATATATTAACATGTATGGACAAATTTCATAGATAATTATATGTAATAATGTAAAATTATATATAATTTTATATAATTTTACATAATTATGTATGAAATCTTTTTTTGGAGATGGAATATATCCAGACATATATTTATATATATTTTTTAACATTAAAAGTACGTGCGTAGAAAATGAAAGTTATTTATACACGCATTTTACAAAAATTTAATATTTATCTGACATATGCCCTATATACCTGACATTGCATCATATTTTCGCTTCATATAAAAAATTGTGAGTGCGTATGTAGAAAATTAAAGTTATTTTGCACGCAGGAGACATTAGTGAATATTACGAGGCCATCAGATTACGACTTGAAGAGCTACATACAAAAAATAGTGAAAAATACAATTTGGTTGCACGCGTGCGGACGTGTATCTGGGACCCGATTCCTGACGGCGTGCGAGTGAGATGCAATGCGAAGAGCCTCATAAGGCTGAGTTCCCACTTAGCGCGTCACGCGTTGCGTCGTCCATCGCGGACCAATAAAATCGTCCTATTTTATTGCCTAACTTTACGACGAATAAAATGGGACGATTTCATTGGTTCGCCAAGGACGACGCGACGCGTGACGCGCTAAGTGGGAACGCACTCTAATTATATATAATTATGTATGGACAAATTTTATATACGATTAGGCATGAAAAATGTTTCATCCAATTAGGATTTGATATACTACAACAATATTACTGTAATATTATAGTGCAATATTACAAAGTAATATTTCGATAATATTATTGTAATATTACATTATAACATGTTATATTCGTTGTAATATTACAATATTACTACGATACTACTGTGATATAATATACATGAGATATTCTCCTCATTGTTATAATTATAATATGTACTATAAGTTATAAGACAGTGAAAAAAAGTTCAGATAAAAGCCAGAAATTCATTTTGTCAAGATCTGATCAGACATAATCAGATATAACGTTATATATGATTAAGATATGTCCATATATAATAATATACAGGGTGAATATTATATACCTGAACACCTGAATATCTCGAAAACAAAGCGTTGTATAAAAAAATGTTAAATAGAAAAGTTGTAGGGTTTAAAAAGATCTATTTTATGATATTAGCAGTTTGACCTTGAGTTGCGTCATAAAGATCAGGTCAAGGTCACAATGATGTTTTTAAATGGATACCCCCATTTTTTATTGTATATTCTTGTAGCTTATCTCGAGAGCTTTCCAAAACACTATACTTAAGTATTTTTTCGTTAAGTACTTTTCGAGTTAAGAGGCTTCAAAGTTACGCTCTTTAGCATTAGCGCGCGTGGATACCGTAGTGACGAGCACGAACGCGCGCTCGTATTAATAGTAAATAGCGTAAGGCTGATGGCCTAAAAAACGTAACGTAATTACGTGCTCTCGTTTACCGCGCTTGTGTTTACGTTTTTCTCTGCCTTAGCTTACCTTAATCGGCCGGATATGATTTTCCTCTTGCCTTAATCGGCCGCGCGCTAATGCTAAAGAGCGTAACTTTGAAGCCTCTTAACTCGAAAAGTACTTAACGAAAAAATACTTAAGTATAGTGTTTTGGAAAGCTCTCGAGATAAGCTACAAGAATATACAATAAAAAATGGGGGTATCCATTTAAAAACATCATTGTGACCTTGACCTGATCTTTATGACGCAACTCAAGGTCAAACTGCTAATATCATAAAATAGATCTTTTTAAACCCTACAACTTTTCTATTTAACATTTTTTTATACAACGCTTTGTTTTCGAGATATTCAGGTGTTCCGGTATATAATATTCACCCTGTATAATCATATATAAAATTATATATGGTATAATATATAACCCAGATAGCCAAACCTGTGCGAGCAGATTTTACGCAGAGTCTGTCAACAGTATCTGTTGACAGAATGGCAACAGACTGCACACAGAAACTGTTTTAGCAGTCTCTGACGACAGATTGGTGACAGACTGCGCGCAGAGCCTGTCGACAGATTCTGACGACAGACTGACGGCAGATTGCGCGCAGATTCTG